ACTTACTTAAACTTTTTAATTATCTTATTTATCTAAAATACTCACGTTTAGAATATAGCTTTCATTTTCATTCTTGAAAATGCTCAGTTCCGAAGCTTTAGACCGTCTGCTTTAATCTAAATCTAGCTAAAAAATCTGCTAAACGTGAGTATTTTAGATAAATAAGATAATTAAAAAGTTTAAGTAAGTGATTATTTTGTACCTAAATTATGGCTCCTAAAAATTTAATGAATTTAATAGTTGACTAAGCCAAAAGATGAAGTACGTTGCAACATAGTCATTCATTCATTCACGCTATTTGTAAAATCCCTAATAACTAATACAGAAGTACATACGTCAACAGAATATACGAAAGGCCAACGTTCGTACAATGTTTTGTGATCTGTTTCCGAGTGAAAAAGAGTCAAAGAAATCTTTCAGTATAGATAAAGATTTCATTCAGTATCCTATTCGAGATGAATTAATAACGTATTTTAGTCGCACATCACTTTCAAAAGCACAGGTAAATACAAAAGTACGATCGTTTCGAAAACCAATCAGAAAGGATGTGCACTACGGACATTATTGTAATCGAGGAATTGTTGTCACCTCTGCTGATGTCGACGGAGATTTATGTTTGTGTCCTCCGAGTTATTTTGGTGATCGTTGTCAGTATCAGGCAAGAAGATTAACGGCTTTTATTAAAATTGAAATAGTTAATCGCTTCCGTAATCATATATTTACACTATGGATTTGTTTAATTAATCAGAATGATGTCGTCGTAACTTGTGATTATATTTCGCATTCTTATCATAGTGCTTTATCTCAGCACGCAGTATACTTGCTTTATCGGAGAGCACAAAATCATAGTGATATTTATTTCGTTCAAGTTATTGTTTATAATGTAACAGCGACAACAGTCTCGTTTCATTCATCTTTACTGTATCCTGTTGAATTCCAGTTTTTGCCTGTCAATCGTTTAAGCGCACTCGTACAAATATCGAATAAAAATAGTATAACAGACTGTCAGAAATGTGTTCACGGACAGTGTGTCACATATTCGAACTTTGCTGGCAAAGAACACTGTTTATGTAACGACGGATGGTCAGGTATCACCTGCGATATAGAGTCCACAAGGAAATGCGAACACGGATCCATAGCTGTTGATGGACAGTGTTTATGTACATTAGGTTTTATGGGCCCTAGCTGTTCGATAAACCGCAATGCATGTACGGCTAGGAGCTGTTACAACGGTGGCTCCTGTGTGCCACTAGCCGATGATTTTTCTTTTACATGTCTTTGTCACAATGAGTTTTTCGGAAATCAATGCAAGCATAAAAAAGCTACGCTAACAGTTCACATTAATGATAAACCAGGTGATAACACTATTGCACAAGTTCCCATTATTGTCATTCATTTTGTTAACATTGATGATTCTTTGCGGCAATTTTCTCTAGAAAGCCGTCTAATATTCAGATATGTTCCATTTTACACGGTGCTGACAATGTTTTATAAACAGGAAATGCTCCCACCGTTAATTTATGCTCAACTGCTGTACGATACATCAGCTCCCGATGGCGTATGGTACTTAATTGGTTTCCGACGTCGTGTACCAACACTCACGACGAGTGTTTTATCTACTAATGAATGTCCACATGTTCGTGAATTATTAAACAGTACAATAATGAATGAGTTTTCATATTTAAAACGTGTTAAATTTTATCAACGATCTTGTTACATATTAGGAATCAAATGTTTTCGTGATGATCGATACATGTGTCTGTGTGATAATTACGCTGAATATGACTGTATACCGTTTGATCGTAATGCAACTTATTGTGATGATACCAGCTATTGTATGAATGGCGGCCGATGCATTCAGCTACTTCAGATACCGGGTGAGCAGTTTGATTTTGGTTGTGTTTGTAGACGTTGTTACTATGGGGAATTATGTCAATTTACTACAGCTCAGTACTCAATATCGCTCGATGCACTGATCGGACCGGAGATCCTCATGGACCAGCCTGTTCGCGGTCAGTCATTGATCGTTAAAATAACATTAGGCATTATCATTTTGATGCTTGTGTTAGGATCTGCCGGCAACATGATGGCAATTCTTATATTTTCTTCTAAGAAACTACATGATATCGGTTGTGGTTTGTACTTACTGTCGGCATCAATCACAAGTCAGCTAGGTTTGCTCGCTTTTGGAGCACGATTTTTTTATATCTTCTAGTAACCCAAATAAGTGTTAAACAAAATCGATACCTGTCCAACATTGCTTGTGTGTCACTCGAATTTCTTTTATCAACGCTACCATCAATCTTTGATTGGCTAACGGCATGCATTGCTATGGAACGCGCTGTGACTGCATTAAAAGGTCTTCAGTTTAATAAAAAAATGAGCAAGAAAATGTCAAAATACGTTATTGTTGCTGTTATTCTCTTGAATGTTACAAGTTCATTGCATGAACCATTCAGTCGTCAGCTCCTTGATAACCCAGGTTCCTCTACCCGTGCATGGTGTATTATGAAATTTAATGTCGAATGGTTAGAAAACTATGAAATAACAACGAATATCGTTCATTTAATTGCACCATTTTCGCTCAACCTTCTATCTACCGTTGTTTTCATACTCAGTCTAACACGACGGAAAGCGAAATTAAATACCACAGCGAGTTATTATACGATACTAAAAAAGCAAATCGTGTTATTCAAACCGTTTGTAGTCAGTCCATTTTTATTAGTGCTTCTAGAATCACCACGTTTAGTTTTGTCATTCGCATTTGCATGCGTGCATTATGACTGGCAAAAATATTTGTATTTGGCAAGTTATCTGATATCAATGATTCCATTGACGGGAACTCTAATTATCTTTGTTCTACCAGCACGAGCTTATCGAGATGAATTACACCGAGCTTTCAGCAACGCGGTTACACGTGTCCGACGAGAATAACGCAGAAATTGAGACGCTGTTTGGTACTATCGTCGGTTTCAGGGTTTTACTGTATATTTCAAAGAAACAGAGGAGTACTCGGATAGGTATATATTAAGAAAACGTGTGATTCCCGGCAATTTTTTGTCAGGCTTTACAAACGCTTCGTACGCTGCCTTTGAAATATTCAGGAACGTGACGAAAGTCAAGCCGAGAAGATGCCATGTTCCTTAACAGTTTTTTGTTATTTTACTTTGACTTTGAAATCTCAATCTATCACTTACCATTACCATCCTTTTCTTTTTGCTGAGTCATAAATGGCAAGGGCAAGATCTGTAGATTACCTCACTTGTTCTTGATAACTGCGGTTTCCGCTAGATATGTAACCGACTTTTTAATTGTAATTATTTTGCTATAATTGTAATTCTTCATTTGAATTAATATATCCAGACTTGAAAAGTTGCTCATACTGTTGAAAATTTCTGGATTCCTCGCTAAAGCAGCTTAAGCTACTTTTTCTTCTTTTCATAAAAAAAGTTGGAGAATTGATGTATATAACAGTTTTTAAAGAAATTCTGTAGGCATGCTCCTTTTCTAGTAGAATGAATACCATAAATCAATGAAGAAGATCATCAAAAAGATCGGTACATGCTACATTCCCGAAATGAAGCTTGAGAAGGGCGTTTTGTATTTTCGTTTTCTTTATTTTAAAAGGAAAAAAACGTACAGAGCCTCGAGACGCCTCATTTCGTGGAGAAACGTTTGCTTTACAATCCTAGATGTTCGCGACACGGTACGTACTTTCTTTAAAAAACAATATAACCTCAGTACTACGTCAAAATTTCGTCACAGAATTTCATTCGGTAGTAGCGTTATTTGGTCGTTCCTACCTCTCCCTTTCTGACAGGTCGAAGAAACCTGATATTCTATCCACGGTTACGACTATCGTCGGCCAATACCTTTTCCAATAAAATTTCTTGTACTACTAGGAAAAAGGAAACCACTCGACAAATCGCCAACTCTAAATTTGAAAAATCACTAAATAGTAAAAATTTATCATAGAATAAAAATATGAAAAAGAAATTTACTGAAATTACTGCGAACTTTGAATGAAGTTCGGTTAAAAAAAATTTAGTTTTTTCTTGAAATGTCAATTTTCCCGAAAACTAGTATCTTTTGAGAATCTTCTCACTGATTGTGGTTCAACAAAGCAAGATGGAGAAACATTTTTGCTGACAAAACTCTTTCCTAGGTGTCAAATGGGGTACTCAGTGTAATACTTTCCAGTGTAATAGAAAAATTTTAAGAAAAACCAAATTTAAAAACTTAAAATTCAATTTTTCTCAATTCAAATTTTTCCGTTACACTGAAAAGAGTATTACACTTAGTACCCAATTTGGCACCTAAGAAAGAGTTTTATCAGCAAAAACTTTTCTTCATTGTGGTATTTCAGTCATGTATTGAACTTTCCTGGCATAATATACCAGCATTATTAATAATAATATCAATTTTGCTATCTGCCCCATGCCGACTAACAACACTTTCAATGGCATCTTTAACTGATTCTGGTTTGGATACATCCATTTTAATAAAAATTCCATTAATAGCATCAGCTATTGATTGTCCGTCTATTTCATTTATATCAGCTATTGCCACAAATGCACCTTCATCTGAAAGACGTTCAGCAATAGCTTTGCCTAATCCTGATGCACCACCAGTGACAAAAGCAACTTTTTCAGTAAATCTTTTCATAACTATTGTTACTCAATGAATTAAATCTAAAAACAGTGCTGTTAATACGTTTATGTGGAATACAAATTATATAATTCCCCAAAAAATGCTGAGAGCGAGCGAAACGATTGTATAAGCGATTTCCATTTAGACTATCCAACGTCCACTTGCTGGGCTTCATCATACAGAAAACTTATCGGTTATAATCAAATTCAAATCTATTTTGGAGAAAACTCAGGCATTTAATGAAAAAAAATCCTAACACTTCGTTTCTAGCGTTGGTATCTTACGGTACCCAAGTAATGAGAGCGATAAGCGCACTTTTTTCTTGACGTCTTTTATATGAAACTTCAAAGATTGACTTTGTGACAAACTGGCTGATGGTTTATTAATATCGCATCATCGAGAAGCAGTGTTTTTGTACTTTCAGTCTCGAACGGTAAATCACCTATATATATAAGAACTAACAAGGACCCAAGAACCGAGCCTTGTGGGATACCTTTTGTGACTTTTAAGGGCCCCCCCTCAGAAATTATCTCCTACACCGTGCATCCGATCTTGACGAAACTTCCGTAAATGTTCGGCACAATGAGTTACTGGAATGAAAAAAATTTTTTGTCTCCAAGTCTTACGGTTTAGGAGTTTTCCAGAGATCAAGGTCCAAAAAGGACCCTGAACGGCGTCCCAAGATTTTTTAATATACTTCAAGCTGGAGAGTTCGG